TCTGTTATTTGGACTGCACTATACACTCCAAGAGAGGTTTTCGATATAGGCCCATATTTCTTCTTGAATATGTCCTGCAAGACAGGAATGAAAGAGAGACATAACTGTTAAATTAATAAATTGAATGAAGTGTGCAACAAATGTTTGCAGGCTTCAGTCATGCAGGAGCTCCCAAAACACAAATCAGAACCTCTCTTTGACCTATGGTCGACACCAGGCAGAGCAATCCTGTTACAAAGTCTCTTCTGCCAAAAACCCTACTTAGAAGTAATTTTTTAGGGGAACTTCTGATTTAAAGTGTAACGCCTAGCAAATAACTCGGAATAGAGGGCTCTGATCTGTTTTTTTTTCGCCAGAGATTTGCAAATCTGCTGAGCTGATCTTTATATCAGAGGAAGTCTAGTGATGACACGTGTCAGAACGGGGCGTACGATTGCTTCCTTTTTGACACATGCTGCTAGGAGGAGAGAGAGGAGCCGTTTTTTACTTCTTTGATTTGTAAGTGTACTTTGTTTTTTTTTCAATAAATAATTATGAAAATATTACACAATGGGAGATTTTGAATTATTTTTTGCATGAGTGTCTCGCTTTTAAAGAAGAACTATGAGGCAAGTGAAAATCATCCATCCTCATAGTGTCGAGCCGTTGTGTGACAATCAAACTGTCACAGGGCGGCTCAATAGATCGGGAAGTGAGCGAACACATACCGTCGAACGCTCACTTCTCGATCATCTACCTACAGAGAGCCGTGACTGTCACTCACGGCTACATGCAGGGATTCCCCCCCTCCCTGCTTCGATCCTCCAGCGCTGACTGGCGGAACGGACGGGGGAGGGTGCGGGTACAGCTGGCTCTGCCTCTAGCGTCTCTCTGCGGCGTCTCAGTATACCGCTAGCTGTAGCATGCGCTATACTGAGCCTAGGGTGACTGGAGGACGCTAGTTTTTTTGTACTCAAGTTACCCTAAGGAGAAAGTTTCATTGTCACAGGTCGGCTAGAACTACGAGGCTGAGTGATTTTCACTCACCTCATAGTTCTCCTTTAACTATTAGAACAGACTTCCAGCACAGGTAGCGCATCGTTTAACATGAAGCAAATGTATACATGACCGGGACAAACATAGATCTATACTCAGACATCAAGGCTTAAAAAAAACAGAGAAAAAGAAACAAACAAAAAACAGGAGAGGCAAACTGGATGGACCACTTGGTCTTTTTCTGCCATTGTTCTTCTGTCTCTCTGTTCTGTTTCTTTGCTGCCAACAAATCTTATTTTTTTAATACAAAACTTTTTTTTTCACTTTCAACATTTTTAACATTTCTTCAAAGGGGAGTTCATAAAGAAGGCTCGTCTCAACACGTTTCTCAGATCAAAGAGTCTGCTTCTTCAGGAGTATACCGGGAGGTAAATGAATGTGTATGCGACATCACTAAGTCTGTGTCCAAGCATTGGTGCCTTACAGGGGGTTGTAGTAAATTAAGTCATCCAATGATAACCCAACTGGGCCAACCGTAAGCAGTAACAAAAACTAAATCCCATTTAATCTATGGGCAATGAGTCCTAGAAACAAAGTGTTCCTAGATATTGAGCCGCATTTACACAGGTAGTAAGACACAAAACATAGCTGGAGATCAGTTACGGACTCACCTGTAGTTCATGTGTATAGAGCAGGTAGCCCCGGAGGAAGAGCCAGTAGATACAAGTGAGCAGAGATGGGCCAGGTAAGTCATCAAACGTCTTCATCTTTTTGCCCTCCTCCGCTATTCCAGCAGCTGCACCTCCACTCATTGCTCTGTGCTGCACCCCCCATATTCCGCTCAGCACTCTGTGTTGCACACCCCATACTCCTTTCACTGCTCTGTGCTGAACCCCCCAAATTGCATTCTCTGTTATGTGCTGCACTCCCCATACTCCACTCATTGCTCTGTTGTGCACCCCCCTTACTCCACTTGCTGCTCTGTGCTGCACGCCCCCCACTCCACTTGTTGCCCTGCACCATATTCCCCTTACTCCAGTCACCAGTCGGTGCCCTATCCCCACTACTATGCAGGCCTGGCCCCTGGGCCAGCTTAGTGTCAGGAGCCAGGGTCTGAAGAAAGAAGTTATCATGGCCTCAGAGCTCTGATGTGGCGGACTGCACAGCTCTGTACACAATGCACGCCCAGAGAGCAGGAAGGGACACCCTCTAACACTTTCACTGCTGGATGGAAGCACACAGCTATAGTGGTTATACTGGAACTGCAGCTAAGCAGATCTGTTTCCTCGTATCAAGCAGCAGAAGACATGTGTATTTGTTTGTGGGAGGAAAAAGGTGATATATTATACTTATCTTTCCTCTGCTTCCTCTCGCGGTGCCTAGGTGGGGTTGACATCATCCTCTTTTATGCTTAATCTCAGCAAAAGATCCTGCCTTGTGCTCCAGCAAATTCTTGCAAAACTCGGACTACTCGTCACACCAATGGTTTTGAATCCTAATATGTTCCATTTTTTTTAATGGCATTTCCAAAAGGCAACGCGTTTCAAGGCTTCCAATGAACCACCTTCATCATGGAAATATACCGGTAAAAATGGCTGCTTTAATCAGCTGCTGAAGCCTGATGTCTCATCATTTCATTTGACCCTTTTAACCTCATACCACACACATATACACACTCACATAAGTTAAGGACCTATGTTTTTATTGTCTCAACAACTATGTAACCTATTCGTGCTCGGTATCACTCCAGTTCAGTTCTCACCTTTCCTGATGAAGGGGATCCCTTAGTACACCCCAAAACACATTGACTTGCTTCCATTTAATATGCTATGATGGATTCAAAATATTTGGTCCCTCAACCATTGGTCTGACCAAGGTCAGTGACTTACTAAGGGAATGTAAACCCTCAAAGACCATGTCGGCAGTGCCCGTATATCTGCACAAATTACACTGTTATGCAGTAAGAATTTAGGACAAGACCTTGTTGCAAAATAAATCTTTTTTATTGTAGTGTTCAGCAAATGAGGTAAAAAGATCATTTGTTACATTCATTGGCTACAAGGAGGGTTAGATCCAGTCTGAGGTAGTGTCAGTTACAGTAAGTGCTTAAAATGATGTCACCATCAGTAATGGAAAGACTAAAATGTGGTAATAGCCACAGATAGTTCATTAGAAGGCTCAGCCTGGCTGGTTACTAACTTCTGATTGGTGCATATGGACTTACAACCCTCTACACAACACCCGCCATGTCATGAACTGAGCTGCGCAACAGCACTACAAATAGGAGATATAGCTGCACAGGCCCGGTGCTAGGATTTTTGCCTACACAGGCAAAGTTGCATTTTTTGCGCCCCCCCACCCCCGACCCCCTGTATCGCTGGGCCTGCTCCCTATCAGCATGTAAGCTGCATAGTGTATTTTATGTTTTTGGCTGCTGTCCCCTTGCCCTCTTCCTCAATTGCCCCTCCTCCGCACACCATCCACTTTTTTGTTCTTTCAGCTTTGTTGTTTTGGGGCTCTGCGTAGTTTTTTAAAAGCTGCACCATTATACCATCCCCATCACCCCCACCCAAAATAAAAGTAGTCTTGAGTGTTAGGGTTGCCACCTTTTCTTTAAGTAAAAACCGAACACTCTAGCGACACGTGGACATATTTTTGGGAGAATGAGTCACGGCTTATTCATATGTAAATAGCGCCACCCATTCATATGTAAATATCACAGTTGAGACAATTAATTTTGGTTGCCCCTGTCTGCCTGACATCTTGTGTCTGGGTTTCTGACATGAAACCCGGACACAGCATTCAAAACCCGGACTGTCCGGGTAAATCCTGGACAGGTGGCAACCCTATTGAGTGTAGTTGTTTATTTAATCCAGGCTTCAAAACTTATGGTCTGGAAGGGATTAATTCATTTCCCTATGTTTTCCCCATTGGACATGAGTACCGTGGCATGCAAGGGTTACGTTTTCATGTTTTCGAAAGCTGGTGGTAGCTTTTTACACATTTGCAATTTGTCGCACTGTAGAAATTGCCTGTCGCGCAAAAAGGTGCAGGAGCTATTTTCGGGTGGTTGTCGAGCGGTTTGGGTCCCATAGACATCTCTATGCATTGAAAACCATGCGACAACCGCGCAGTTTTCAAAGTAAAAATGCGCAAAAACAGCTCACCAGCTCAGTCGCCTAGATGTGAACCTAGCCTCAAAGAAAGTTCAATAAAAAAATCTGTGGAAGAAAAAAAGTGATACAATAGACATACCTTATCCTGGCTTCCTCCCGCAGTGCTTAGGCCAGGGTGACAGCATCCTCCTTCCAGAGAAATCAGAGAATGCTAAATAGCCCAAATCACTCAAGAAGACAATCCTGCCTGTGCTGCAGAGTCTTCTTGTGAGATTTGGACTTTCCTTGACAGGAGGATGAAGGCACCCCTTGCACTGTGGACATTGGGGAAAGGGGAGTATATTATCTATTTTATCCACACCCAAAAGGTTCTATGTTGTACTGTTATGCACTGTTTAAGAAAGTGCAAAATCCATTGTAAGAATTAAAATTCAATAATTTTTAAAGCTGCACTCCAGACATTTGTTAATAAAGTGGGGAAGCTCTGTTGGGTTTTTTTTTTAACAATGTCTGTATCCTCAGTGGAGAGATTTGCCCTCACTTCTTATGTAATCATGATGACAGGAAGTGAAAGGAACTCTCTCCAGTTAGGACACAGACACAAACAGAAACATAGACACGACTCTAACCTTTTCCCACTTTAAAGTATCAAAATAGTTTTGTCTGGAGTTGGGCTTTAACATGCTACCTTTCTACAAAGTCCATCATGTGCAAAGTAATTATGGGGTGACATGATTAAAAAAAGAATAAAGTGAAGCATTTTGAATATTTCCTTATTCCAGCGTATTCAACAAACAGCGCAATAAACAAAATAGAGTGCGGTAACTCATAGCAGCCAATCAGAATTCACATTACTGAAGTCAGTCCAGGGAAAGTTGAATGCAGATAATTTCTCTGTAATCTTACCAGTTCAGGGGAAAAAAATGGCTGCCTCAGCAGTGTATGAGCAACCAGTCCACTCTAAATGTAATTTACAAAAATCAGCCTAAAGTATGTTTTCAGGTGAAGGTTTGCGGTGTAGATTCTAGGATTCCGGCACCTTCTTTCAAATTCCTTCAAGCTTGAAGCATGATGCCAGTTACTGGAAAAAGTGCCGCCATCTTCCTGAAATGCAGATCATCCTTCTGTGATCTTACCGACGTTCAGAGTGACTTGGAGGAAGTTCTGTTCAGAAACTGGAGGTTAATGGGGCGGCTCGGGGTCAGGACAGCCCTGGCCATAGCAGAAACCTCTACACCTCGAGGGTCGGGTCTGATCTCATACTTCTTAATAATCTAGGAAACGAGGAAGAGAAAAAAATGTATGTTACTGTTTTCTTTCATAAGTTCAGCCTCAGCCAAAGGTGCATGGGCACAGAGGTGAGTCTCTCTCTGTATTACTTCTGGATGCTGCTGGAGGCCTCTGCTCCATCTTGGTGCTGCTGGAGGACTCTGCTCCTTCCTCTAACTCTCCTCTCCTGAAATACTCTGCCCCTACCACTATTTAGGTCTCCCCCCTTAAAATACTCTGCACTGCTGGAGGACTCTGCTCCTTCCTCTATCTAACTCTCCTCTCCTGAAATACTCAGTAGAGAGAATTCTTACCCGTGATAACGTGAGATACATTTCCAGCTCTGCGATCCTGCGGCCAACACAAGCTCGCACACCGTACCCAAATGGGATGGAGCTGAAGGGGTTATTCTTCACCTTGTTATCTCGCAGCCAGCGCAGGGGGAGGAATTTGTTAGGCTCTGGAAAGTTGTTCTCGTCACGAGAGATCTGGTAGTGATTTAACCCAAACAGCGTCTGCAAGAAAAGAAAAACCTCATCACCAACATTGGGCAACTTACAGGTCTGTAAAATGTCTTGAGAACTTTGCTCTGCAGATTGCTCCATAATTGGGTAAGGTCGGTCAAAAGCCAACTTGGCCCTCTGCAGAGCAATGCTGGTATATATAATATCAGTTTAAAAGCTTCTGAACTTAAAACAATAATAATAATTAAAACATTTTGTTTAAACTGCTAGAGTGACAACTTCTTCTGTTTATGGAGCATTCGGGGAATGTTCTGCTCTATTGATGATCAGATTGTGTCTGCGTGTCTGCCATCTATGGGTCACTTCACTCATCCACAATCCACTTACATTTTTGGGAAACCAATAGCCCCCAAGGGTTATGTCCTTTTCAGCATTCATTCTCGTGTTAGAAGGTACGACTGGGTACAGCCTAAAGAAAAGAAAAGCAAGGTGAATTCAGGCGCCATAAATGCAACTACAACTTTAACTCCAATCAAAACTTTGTGTTTTGGGTAAGGGAGGGTTAGAACTTCTCACAAATTTTTATTGCATGTTTCCCTGACAGTAGTCCCCTCATAGATTGTGGTACTGGGACTGGGATAGGAGGTAATGGGGAAATCTCTGAAGAAGCATTCAAAATCAATAAGCCTGTTAGTTGAATAGACTACTGTATATTGTGAAAAGATAATTCCTCTCCAAAACCACATTTCAGGTTTAGTTGGGCAACAGGCTCAACTGAAGTCTGGAATCTTCTATACAGGTGAAACTCGAATAATTAGAATATCGTGCAAAGTTCATTTATTTCACTAATGCAACTTAAAAGGTGAAACTAATATATGAGAGAGACTCATTACATGCAAAGCAAGATCATTCAAGCCGTGATTTGTCATCATTGTGATGATTATGTCTTACAGCTCATGAAAACCCCAAGAACCCCAAATCCACAACCTCAAAAAAGTAGATTATTACATGCAATCAATAAAACAAGGATTGTACATAGAACAATATCGGACCTCTGAAAAGTACAAGCATGCATATGTACTCAGTACTTGGTTTGGGCCCCTTTTGGAGCACTTACTGCAATTACTTTTGCACGATATTCTAATTATTCGAGTTTCACCTGTATATTGAGGACCCCAGGAGATGAGACTCTTACCTGCTGTACAGACAACAAAATGCAACAGGAAGACAGAGACTCCGAGGTGTGAGAAGGTGGCAAACAGAGTGCCTCAGTGGTGGAAACCTTCAAGAGATGTTTGAAACCAGCCGGGTACGCTCTACCCATAAATGAAATGTTGGCTTATTGGACTGATACTGGAACCAATAGGGAATGGATATGAAAGAAAAGTACCGGAGTGTTTCCTTAATCACAGATTTCAGCAGCGACATCTTGGCGATATCCTCGGCGGTGGGTATAGCGTCACCCGGGACAATGTCGCTCACCTCCTGATAAAGGGATTCCTGGATCACTGGGTCCCTGGCCAGGTGGTACAGTGCCCAGGAGAGGGTGTTGGATGTCTGAGGGCATAGAACATAAGGATAATAAGATCAATAGCACAGTAATCCATCTTTTCCCTCATTCCAGGATACTGGGTGTAATCCTGGACTCTGCTCCTCTCCTTTCAGCCTGCAACTACTCAAATCTTGTTGCCTTCACCTCTGTAATATCTCTAAATTATGCCACTTCCTAACCATTGACACCACCAAGTTACTAATTCACTGCCTTGTCATATTTCACTTTGACTATTGGATCTCTCTCCTTGTTGGCCCATCTCTACACAGACCATTCTCCCTTCAGTCTGTTATGAATGCTACTGCCAGACTTATCCACCTCACCCTGCTGAGTGTCCTTTCTGCCAATCCATCCACTGGCTTCCATCCCCTGTCCCTCTCAGCTAATCCCTCCACTGACTTCCACTCATCCAACAAATAAAATTCAGAATATTACAACATACAAAGCCGTCCACACCTCTTCCCTCACCTAAATCACTAACCTCATCTCAAAATATCACCCAAACTGTCTTTTTTGCTCTTCCGAGGACCTCCTCCTCTCTAGCTGCCTCATTATCTGCTCCCATGCTCATCTCAAGGACTTCTGCAGAACCCCCCCCCCTCTGGAACTCCCTATCCTAATCCATCCAGCTATAATTTATTCTGCCTTAAGATGATCCCTGAAAGCTCATCTCTTGAGGGAAGCCTTTCCCACTTCCACCTGGCAACTGACTTTTACTTTCTCCATTAACTCATACCCTCAGTTATTTCATTTTGTTTCACTTGCCCCTCCTTGCAGACAGTAAGCTGTCCTAAGAAGGGCCCTCCTAAGCATCTTGTGTTGAATTGTACTGTCTTTCCTTTATACTATAAATCCCTGTATAATTGCTGTATAATAATAATAATAATAATAATAATAATAATATATAATACAGATGGAAACCAAAGCTTACAGACAGGAACCACATTGTACAACCACAGTGCAGCACTACTAAAGCCAGGTACACACGCAGGGAATTTTGGCCAATTCAAGAGGGATCGGCCACAATTTGCTGCGTTGGTGACCCTATTTCTTCAGCAGAAGTTGATCATTACATTGACTTTTGCCGAAGGAACATGATGGAAAATGTTTAATCGAACGTAGCTTGCACAGATTTCAGCTGCAAGCTCCTTTATGATATTCTGACAGTAGCTCGTGGCCATTGTCAGAATACAATAGAAGCAGCGGGGTGTTCCTCCGCCCATGCTGTTCAGCATGGATAGGGGAATGTGTTCTAGTTTTTTTGTTAAGCCAGTTGGTTGAATGAAAAATATAGACCCATGTTTATCCTATTCAAGTAGAAATATTGGCATATTATAGCACATGGAAGAACTTTGCCCATTATAGAATGCAAATACCGTGTCCACTCCGGCCAACAGCAGCTCTACCACACTGCCGTTCACCTCCTTATTGGTCAGTGTTCCACTGGACAGCAGGTAGGTTAGGTACTCCCCCTGCACCTCCTCCCCACGGTCCAAGCGAGCTTGTATGTTCTCCATCTTCTGATCGATCATCTTGCTTCCTATGGATTTAATCAAAAGACGACATTGCTAAGTCACAAAGGACCATGTAACGGTCCCTCCCCTTTGGGTAAGTATCTGGATCTCAACTGTGGAGGTTCCCCTTCTATTGGAGGAACGGAGTCAGTTAAGCAGCTTGCCCCTCAGTACCCTGTATTTGGATAAGGTGGAGAGGGAGCTGCATTACATCATACCCCTGGTGGTTAGGAATGGTATAGCCCTGTGCCGCCTGAGTGGTTGCAAGCGCGGGTTAAATCACAGTAACGTACACTTGGGGTTAATGGCTATTAGTTCCAACTTCTGGTAGTATAGCAGTATGATATATGCAATAAGGTTCATGCAATACTAAGCAGGTATGAAATGCAGGTTATTGGATGATTTGCAGAGTGATATGCTCAATAAGGTTCATGCAATACTAAGCAGGTATGAAATGCAGGTTATTGGATGATTTGCAGAGTGATATGCTCAATAAGGTTCTTGCAATACTAAGCAGGTATGAAATGCAGGTTATTGGTTCATTTGCAGAGTGATATGCTCAATAAGGTTCTTGCAATACTAAGCAGGTATGAAATGCAGGTTAGGTTGGGTCTCAGCCCAAGTACTTGCGGTTCAACTCTCCCCTGAGGGTTGGACACTGGTGGATCAGCGTCCCGCTACAACAACAGTAGGACGCCGATCAATTAGCAAACAGTGGTTTTAAGCCGGCTGCTCCAGTGAGAAGGGGCGGGGTCCCGAGGTGCGCCTGCGCAGACCGGGGAATCAGCCGACAGGTGAGACAGCAGATAGAGCCGCGGTGCGCCTGCGCAATGCGACGCCCGCGGTCTCGCTCTAGAAACTCTATTGCTACAGTGCGCTTGCGCAGGACGCCGTCGGAGGCGGACGACCGGGCGTAAACTGGTACGTCGATTACAGACCATCAGATTAAACGTTAATCTCTGTCATAGTGTACGATGCTCTGCAATTATCACCTGTAAAAGCCAGCTCTGCATAATTTGAGCAAAGAGGAAGTAGAGGGAGAGAGAGTGTGGACAAAGAGAGAGGGAGGAGAGACTTGAGAAAAGAAAAAAAGAGAGAAGGAGAAGGGAGGGTTAATGAAGGGAGAGAGAGAGAGAGGGGAGATGGAGAAACGGGAGAGGAGGAGAGAGGGGCAAAGAGAGTTAGAGTGCAGAGAAGGATAGAGAATGGAATGAGAGAGACAAGACAGAGAGGATGGAGAGGAGAAAGAAGACTTAAAAAGGAGAGAGAAGTCTGCAGAGGGAGAGAAGAGAAGAAAGAGCATAGGAGATACGGAAGGAGAGTGAGAGAAGAGGAGATAAGAGTAGAGAGACTTAGAGTGGAAATAAAGAACAAATGGAGAAGAGAGAGAGAGCATGTGAGAGGAGATAGGAGAGAGAATCCAAATCCTCCTTTATGGCAGTGAACTATAGTGCCCTGCTGTCATCTAACAATACCTACACAAAAGAGACTTCAGTCCAACAGAAATATTGCACTGGAATTCTGCAAGCACCTCCTCAAAGGCCATCAGAGCACCTTCAGCAATGCTTGCCAAGCTACGCTAGGTAGATTCTCTTTACTACTTGCAGTATAGAAGAGGGAACTATCATACTGGGACCATCTACAAAACAGCAGCCCCAACTCATACCACCATAAACCCTTACTGGCCAACAAGGACCAGGCCAAGCCGTGCGGCCTTCTACAACTCTTCAGCACCTTGTGTATCCAAAACTCCCAACAATGTGGCCTGAAAAGATCCCAAATAAATGAACAATTCTAGAGAAGGAATTAAATAAACTCCGATAAACTAACCAGTTAACAGTCCCTGCAGTGAGACTACAAACTGGAGATGCTACAAGACCCCAGACACAGACTGACCCCGAGTCTGAACAGATCGGTTGCCCACAGCCTGGAAATCGAATAAGGGCCTACAAAAGACCTACAAACTCAAGGAGAGTAGACTGTGCCAGTGTTGTACAGGTGAAACTCGAATAATTAGAATATCGTGCAAAGTTCATTTATTTCACTAATGCAACTTAAAAGGTGAAACTAATATATGAGATAGACTCATTACATGCAAAGCAAGATCATTCAAGCCGTGATTTGTCATCATTGTGATGATTATGGCTTACAGCTCATGAAAACCCCAAGAACCCCAAATCCACAACCTCAAAAAAGTAGATTATTACATGCAATCAATAAAACAAGGATTGTACATAGAACAATATCGGACCTCTGAAAAGTACAAGCATGCATATGTACTCAGTACTTGGTTTGGGCCCCTTTTGCAGCAATTACTGCAATTACTTTTGCACGATATTCTAATTATTCGAGTTTCACCTGTATATTTTACCAAAAAAAAAAATGGGTGTTATGTTGTATTTGGGTGCACTAAAATCCATTTTAGTGTATTTTTCCCCCAAAAATATTGATTTGATAAACTGTGCAAATATTGTGTGACTTAAAAAAAATCA